AGATGGAAGGAGACAGGTTTATAAATCGCAGGATTGTTTCTCACTTCGTGGGCTCATTCCTTCCTGTCTATATGTCGGAGATCTAAGAAAGCCTCGCTGAGCTGCTTGTTGTTCAGGCATATTACCCCGCTTGCTTCCTTTACATGTTTTGTGTTCAGAGAACAAATATATAGAATGTTAGTTTTTAGATGTTTTCACTGCACCTTCACTATTTCGTTAACAATATAAAAAAATCAATTGAGTTTTTATTTGCTGTTTCATCTGACAAAATGACAATAAATTATACTGAAGATCAGAACTGGGAATACTGAAAATGATATTTTTGTAATTTGCGAACGAGGATTGTCTTTTTTTCGATTTTATTCAAATCCTCGTGCACCGAGTGCATTTGCTGAAGACGTCCTGTCAGAACAGAAAAACTTCAAACTAAATGTTCTCTTCAAATCATGTCTACTCTTTCTTCATACTGCCAAAGATATGAATAACTCTGAATGCATACATGCCATGAACGTCGTGCGCATGTGGTTCCGGTTATACATCCTTCAATATAATGTTATAACAAAAAACATGGAACTTTGGCTGGGTGGATGTATCGTTCGGACCAACCATTGTGGGTATCATATATCTATATGTACGTGTATTCATATGTAAAAGGATTCGAACTAAGTATGAAACTAATTTTGTGTGTAAGTCACCAACATGATGAAAACAGGTTCCCCTTTTATCAGCACAACACACCATGTATTGTGACAGTTTCATTTTTGAGAACTTCCCCTCTACTTGACTGGTGGTTTTAGGAACCTATCACCATGGACCAGTACTTGATATTTACTGATTAATGATTTACTCATGTCACAATCCCCTATTCCTTTCCAATTAACAGTTCCACAAAGTGGGGCTTTGATAATGCTTGGTAGCCTAGCTCCAGATCTCTTAGCTATTTGTGTGGGAGTGGGCGGATTGCATGTAAATAAAATCTGACACCTATAATTAATTCTCAAGCGAATCAAGTGATCCTCCTGCCGACGCTGTAAATAACGGGTCTTTGTTTACAACACGCAGCGTTTAGCGAGTTGCTCAATGCAGTCGGATGAGTGACATTCCTTCAACCCGTTCAACATGTTCTCAGAACTACTGGCTTCTTGAAAGACAGAATGACATCAATGGAATCGAAATACTTCGCGTCACAGAGTCTAAATACTAATGAACACTTGTCCTACAGATTTATCCGTTCTTGTTGGCTCCTGTTTGAAGATAGAATGCTTATCTTCACACTGAAAGCCGGCGCAGTTGGGAGCTGATGACAGACCTTGGACGCCGATCATTCCGCCGTGTATCGCTCCGCCATGGTGATGAGGCCTACAAGGACCATTTGCCTCAAGATTGTTATGTTAACCACTTTGTTATGATTTGTTATTATACGCATTTATTAAATAAAAAGGTTATACTCATGGAAATAAAATGCATCTACATATGTAGCCTGTTTGTTGTTTGTGGTGTCTTTTCAGGACATGAATAAAGAGGCAATATACCCTTAGCTTTCGTCGCCTTTGCACCTTTCCAGACAAAGTTGAAATCCCTCCCAGTAAGTTTACACGACGCCCAATTAAGAGACTATCGCTGTGATGAAGCCCACCAACAGTAGCGTTTCCAAGACATCTGTCACACTTTTATTTGGATATTACATTGACAGAGATGGCGTATACATTATGACTGGTGTATGTGTGCAATCGTTATTTTTATCTCATCATTGACAGAGATACCTGTATGTTTTACGTTACTACCTTGCCGTTTCCATATATAATGGGTTATATATGTCCTAGGAAGTCTCGTTTGAACTAAACCTAGCCAGTAAACAGATCATTACCATTCTTTTTCGTTTTTCAAATTGACATACGACCAGGGCCCCGTTTCACAATGCTATCGTAGCGCTACGACTGTCGTATGTCTATGCTATGTCCATAGTAGGGACGATGAACTCGATGGACTTGGTGTTTGTCTATTGGAACCAAAGTAAGTGTGATATCAAACAAATTGCCAATGCCAAGATCTGTATCTTATTCACCAACTCATGGTTCCATTATATGGGGACGCAGTTCTTTGAATACGTTGCTCAAGTTGAAAAGTGACAGCCCAGCTGAGCTTTACAGCTCTATGAACTTTCCCATACTTCCATCATATATATAATTGTATGTCCTCATAATGCACAGTGGATCTTGGTTCCGAAGCATTCGTGGCGTTACGAGCTGTCGTAACTGTATAGTTTATCACGGGATTACGAATGACGTAGTGCCACGAACGCTTTGTGGATCAGGCCTTGATCGTGGATATGATATCGTCTGACATTTACAAATGTTTCACATCAAGACACCATAACAGTCATGAAACGTAAGTTGTGACAGGACATCCTTTGGCAGGACTTTCCGCCACGTTTCGTAGACACCTGGTGTCATCACGTAATGGTTGTCTATGCGTTTGGTTTTTTGTCCGTATGTGGCAGAGATGAGAAATAATAGCCCCCTGGCGTGTAGAAACGTTACATGTGAACCCCGCGGTCTGTGGTAATGAGTGTGAAGTACCTGTGATGGAGAGCACCCTTGAGGTAACTATGTGCTAATTGTTGTCTCGGCCCGGATGTCTGTATCGGCTTATCAGACATGCCGCAGACTGCCGACAAGGATATGTGCTAGTGCACAGATAGCCGACAACTGCATATCGCGGCGGCGGGAAGAGAGACATATAGTGTTGAAGGTATAATTTGCCATGATGGTCGAGCAATAAAGCCCCAAACACCCTGACGTGCACAGTAGAGGGCAATAGCGGCTTCGATTGGCTGGCCCCTAACCTTTGTCATTTTTTTATACACTTTTTGACGTCGCATTTCATATTGATACTGGCGTCACATTTCCTGTTGGTACAGACGGACCGGTATTTTAAGAGAATTGTGAATTTACGAATATATATTATATAAATACCATGAACGTCACTCGGGGTTCGCGACGAGAAAAGGTTCCCTCCTCGAATGGGGACGGGTGAACAGGATGACATTGCTTTTTTGTGTCACAATGCTCTGATCACATGGTCCGAGTGAGTGAGTTTAGTTTTACGCCGCGCACAGCAATTAGCTATGTGGCGGCAGTCTGCAAATAATCGAGTCTTGACCAGACAAGCCAGTGATCAACATCAAAAACATCGATCTACGCAATTGTAATGCGATGACATGTGTCAACGAGCCTGACCACCAGATTCCGTTAGTCGCCTTTTACGACAAGCATGGGTTACTGAAGATAATTCTAACCCGGATCTTCACGGGAATCACATTTCCGAAGTTCATTTAACAAAACTGTACAGATTTAAGACCTTCATCGCCTGGGTATTATTTCCAGCATGCCGACACGCCAAGCTATAACTGAAATACTATTCCAACCGGCGTTGAACCCAACTCACTCATACGCTATAAGAATAACCCTATATACATCCACAGTGCAAACGCAAGGAGCCATTGTCGATTGTAGGAACATAAACCTAATATCAAAGTGCATCGTGTTTGTTTTATTCAAAGCCATCATACGATGAGTCGTTTCAGAGTGTATCGTGTATAAAATGTGTTCACCATTTAATAAATAACAAAATGTAATAGATATAGTTATCCTCTAAAGACAAGCAGAACCGCAACCCCTAAAGTGTTCACATAACGAAGGCATATCCGACTCTTTGTTACACTACGGAATCCGCAGCATATATAATTATTGTTTGAAATTACATTTATTTTCTTCTTTGATGGGCATTCTAGAAGTTGGGTAGGTGAAGATTGAGGACTATTTTTATATCCATAAAAAATGTCCTCATTCTTTACATATATTTTGTTAAAACAATTTCATAGCTTATTTATTGGTCTTTTGCTTTTGATGCATCTATCGGTATTATTAAGAGCAGTCTTTTGTTTTAATAATACGATTTTTAGCCGACTGTTTGCTTTCCACGCGTATCCTCCACGAAAGTGATATGTTTGTACGTAATTAGTTATTGTACGACTTGGTAAGTATCGCTGTACATACACCGTCTCCTGTTCCCTCCACTTGACATAGAGACACCATACACCACAGATATGGGCGAGATAATTACTGGTCATTTATCGAGAGTGACGGTTTGTTAGTAAGACGAGATACCTCGCTACACTTCCCATATTTGTATTGCGATAAAGTCAAGTACCCATGGTCGTAGAGCTGAGAAGCTGACACCGTGGTTAGCCCTCCTCTGACAACTCTCTCACCTCGTAAACATAATGTTATCACCCAATTGTAACCATTTATTTGTTTACACGAGGGTCGGCCAATTGTTCCCTGGGGGGTGGTCGCTTTCCTCAGCTGCAGGTTCCCAGATCTCACCCAAGTCAACGATATTGATGACTGTTTAATAGCCTCGGAAGTGGCAGGGTGATTAGAGAAAGATACTTTGTTTAACAAATTTATTTGAACAGGTCATTCCATGGCGTTTGGTGTATGTCTGGAGTTAATGTATATACTGGTAAATCTCCCGATAGGCTAATGTCGGTCGGAGAGACGAAGTATGTGGTTCGCGGTGTTGTGAAGCCGTTTCTTTTACTGAGTTTATAACTGACTATGAATAGAACCCAAGTGTAAACAAACTGCAATTACCAAGCTGTCTGTCGTTTGGAATTATACCAGTCATTTTAGACGTTTTACATGCACTTGTATAATAGAATTCACAGGGTTATTGTTATTACCTAGACGGAACGTCATGGCCCCGGAGCATTGCATATCATTACCTCGACAGAACATCATGGTCGCGGAGTATTACATGTCATTACCTCGACAGAACATCATGGTCGTGAAGTATTACATGTCATTACCTCGACAGAACATCATGGTCGCGGAGTATTACATGTCATTACCTCGACAGAACATCATGGTCGCGGAGTATTACATGTCATTACCTCGACAGAACATCATGGTCGCGGAGTATTACATGCCATTACCTCGACAGAACATCATGGTCGCGGAGTGTTACATGGCATTACCTCAACAGAACATCATGGTCGCGGAGTATTACATGGCATTACCTCCACAGCACGTCATGGCCATGGAATAGTGTGCGCCAAAGGTGTTGTATTTACGTCAGGTTTACGTCAAGGGCGCGGGACATGGTTGAGGTGTGTGTGTGTATGTGTGTGTGTGGTTGTGCGTCATTGCTTCGATGCAAGGGCAGAGGGTATGTTCGTCAGGGAAGACGAGGCCTAGGTCGGGACATATCCGGACCAAATTGACAGATTAAATTTTGTTAAACCACCAATTTATTACTTTATTACTTTGGTATGTTGATATGGGTTCGACTTCACTTTTTCATTTGAATTTCATCAGTAATATATTCAGGAGAATATTACTGAATATTCGCAAGTCTTATGTTTCACTAAACGCCAAGCACAGTGTTTTTTAGGAATGGGTCCATAAAATATTTGGCTTGTGTATTACTCTAGTTTCCTGGGCGATACACAAGAATTACATCCATTCGAATTAATAATGTTAAATTAGATGTTTAGATTTGGTGAAAAGTCTCTTAGCTTTAGGACGTAGAAACTGTGAGAAGATGGCCCCTTCAGATAACCATCCGGAAAGATCATCTGTCGCGAAATTGATGTCTTCATAGCAAAGATGAAGCAGCTCATAGAGAGCCGGGAACAAGTCTAAAAAGAGTGTTGCTACGTTCTCGGAAGTGAAAGGTACATTGAGATAAATGTACCCACAAATACATAAAGCTACTTTTCGTGGTGCCCGTGGTGTGACGCCAGTGCAAGATTAAATTTGGCCATGTTGACATTAAAACGGAAGAAAACATATCTGCATGAACACTTTTCATCTTAAAAAAGTATCCGAGAATTGATAATTTATAAAAAGCCTCTTAGAAATGAATGCATCTGTCTACATGTCAGAAATTGCCGTGTATCCTGTAGCTGCGGTATGTACATGCGTGCCAATTACCATTATGTGTACTTGAGAAGAATCGTAACTATAGCAACCAAACACTAAGAACCGTACTCCGATACCATGGCATGTTGGAATATTCAACATCACGAATGTGTGTAACTCTAACGCGTGGCGCGTTAGCATTTGACTTGTCCTGTCGAACTCAAAATACATCATGGTGCTTGTTTAACAGAGACGTTTATCATCACGGGTTTTAAACGATTGAAATAACAATGAGTTCCATATTCATAATTTATTTACAAGAACATATTTATGAACATGTTCATAAATACAAATTTATACAACTGAAGATCTGGCTGTGAATGTTGTTGTGCTTCAAGAAACCTGTCGCATGTTGACAACCACACCAGCATATATATCTGTACAGGGCTTCCATACCTTGAACTTGAATAAGCTTTGACACAATAGTATATGCCACAGGATTCAGTTAAATACTAACAGCAAGGTCGAGATAGCTTTAGAGAACAAGTCTGTTGCTACTTTTGTAGGAAGATTGACAGTATAATCTAGATGCATAGCTACTGTCGTCGAAAGATCGAACATTTTCATCCTACAGAAGTGTCCTATTAAATATGTCTTCACGTACTGCAAATGGTCCTATATCGTGCTTAAAGCACAGCCAAATATCACAGTTTGCATGTTGCGCACGTGCAGCTCGCAATTTGCATGCAGAACGTTACTCAGTTTATAAATATTCTCCACGTGATCAGAAGAAGATCGCTCATTGGACAGTGACGTTTAACTGCAGTTCATCTTGACAGTGCCACTGGTTCAGATAGCTCGTTGCGCATACACGCTGTTGTCCGACCTTTTCTATTTGGCACTCTCTTCCTGGCTTACCATGGAACACAATACATCTGTTTCCTCAACTCCACTGTCTATTGAAATCTCTTCCTCTTTGTCGCACTCGTCGCTTTCTTCTTCGGAGTCAGCCTCGATATCAACCTTGTCTAACGCCCTTTCCTCTCCTTCCTTACTTCCGGTCTCGCCATCTGGCGTACCTTCGTCCTCTTTGGCTTTCTGTTGCTGTGCATGACGCCACTTCATCCGTCTGTTTTGGAACCACACTTTCACCTGAAGTTAAACAAACTGTGGTTAAATCGTGTATAGTTCTTCATGACCTTAACGACAGTTTAGGATCGTAATTCTATACATCACAATGCTTGTCCTCATTCATACCCGGGGCGGTGGGGTAGCGTAGTGGTTTAAGCGTTCGTTCGTCACGCCGAAGACCCGGGTTCGATTCCCCACATGGGTACAATATGTGAAGCCCATTTCTGGTGTCCCCCGCGGTGATATAGCTGGAATATTGCTAAATGCGGCGTAAAACTAAACTCACTCACTCACTCATTCATTCATACCCAATTTCTCTGCTTGACATTAGGGATGGCGGAGTAGTCCAGTGGTTAATGTGTTTGCTCGCCACGACAAAGACACGGTGTCGATTCCCTAAATACACAGAATGTTTGAAGTCCATATCTTGCGTCTCACGCCACTATGTCCGGATTGTTGAATATAAGACTCGACTGACTGTATCTTCGCTGTTGCGGAGTAGGTGTCCGCTAACTTCGTGATACCTACAGTCCGTGTAAGAGTTTAGGATAGTTGTAGACCTACAGTATTAAATCCCGTTGTTTGCTTGTTGCTTTTTATCTTAAATATGTACATGCGCATGCGTCATCGCCTGGCGGAAGGTGTGAGAATAACAGCATCATATTAATCGCACATGCGCCTCACCGCCAAGGTGGATGATCTGTGCATGGTCAAACATGGCGTACGTGTTTATCGTTTCTCTAATTTTATTCGGTTAAATTATTTAATCTTTTTCATTTAAGATTTTTTTTTCTCTATAAAGTATCCATGGTCTCTATCAACGTCTGCCAGCCGATTTAAAGCAAACACTTTGAAGAGTGAGGGTTTATTCTGACGTTTCAAGTTAAAATTGAGAATAAACTTTTGTGGGTTATGTCGGGATCCGCCTTTGATGTTTTGCCCCCCACGTTGAAGGGGAAACATTTGGTAGACATGTGAGAGTGGAACTGTAGATTTTGCAGGAAATGCGTTTGCTTTTTGCATGTACAGTGTTGCTTCTTGTGATAAATGCCTATTGAGTGCAGTAAATAAGAGGAAGGTGAGAAATGAGCGCGTATCTGTGTACGGGAGGCGGACTGTAATCTCCTCCTCGCAGTAGATAGATAGACGATTAGTGTTCCCACCAACAACATGAAGCGCACTGTTACTAAGGCTCAACGGCCACATATGGTACGGATCCCAGAAAACCATTATCGGCAAAAGGGAGTGTGGGGTTTAAGCGCTTGAAGTATTTAATGATACTTTGCGATATGAGATCATTTGTTTAAATGTGTTTTAAGATATGCATTAATTCAAATTTAACTAATTGATGTATATTTTGTCCCAAAATATTGTAGTAATATATAATTTTCTTAAACCTTTATTGACGATATATGGTGGTCGAAAATGAAGCATCTGTTCATTACAATCAAACGTGACATATCATGTTCGTGACCACTGGCAACTGTTCTGTAATCATTAAACAAGAAAAGTAACCGATCTTGTTCCGTCTCAATTTCAGTTAAACCAGCATAGTCTTACAATGGACTATATGTTTTTGGTCTTATCTCAATTGGACTGTTAGTTAAGCGGGGAAATGAAGTGTTTATATGTGGTACCCCAAACTATTTCTGATTATCTATTCTTGTTTTTTGGGGGATTCACATACTATTTCCCACACCGCGTACGTAAATCAATAGTTTTTAGTAATAAAACACATAAGCAAGTCTTGGTCCTAGATGTTGTATATACAGTCAGTAGCTTTAACGAGCCTGTTAAAATGTTAAAGCTGACGTTTCTTACGTGTTGCGATGTTGACGCCCAAATTGAAATACACATCACACTGTAATCGGTCCATTATCTGTTCTGCCTGCATATTTGTGTCCAGTCTTGACAAAGATAGTTTTCCTTATCGGCCACCCATAAATTTTATTTTATTTTCGGTTCTGCCTGTACAACATTTGAATTGCAAAACGGAGGTATTACGTATAAAGTGATTAAACATTCATGGCAAGTGTGGTTATTTATGGGTATTTCTTGACAAACTTTGCTAGATGTCCCTCTTCTTGTAAATAAATAGTCCGCTACCCTAAAACTGGTCCTGCACGTACGCGCGGGATACGAGTGCGTAACCTCCGCTGCCAGGGCGACAGCAAGGTACGATAATGAGGGATGTCAGGGGTTCGGAGTACAGATCATTTCAATTATAGTGCCAGGTCCGCCGACATGGGCTGTTTATATTAATATACGACATCCACTGTTGTAGAAATCACATTCAATTAATGAGGGTGTCCTTGTGAGCTTGCAGGTAGACCCTTCACATAAAATACTGTTAAATGTTGCAGTCGAGATCCCCGTGTGCCGTAGTTAATCAACATGTTGTTTTTTATTACCGCTTCTGCTCCCTCCCCCCGGGAATGAGCTGTCAGCGCGTGCCCCCACACAGTCTCCCCCTGCCTCACGTCCTTTTCACTCTCTCTACCATTACCCAGACGCAGATATTCCTCCGCAGTCGTTGGGGGTTCTGCGTCCGAGAGTCGTGGCATGTAATTAAACTTTATCAAATTGGAATTGGTTTAATGAATTGGGTTTTTTGCATGTCTGTTATATGTCTGTTGAAACACAAGCGGGTTGGGTCCTACTTTAACCGTTACCAATAACAGTATCCTGTAGAAGTTTATATCCAGTTAATTGAACATTCCTACTGTCGTATTGAGAATCTAAGTAGCGTAATGAAAGCTATTATGTTGTTAGTTAAAAAGGGATACTTTGATAGGGAGCAGAAAACACCAGACATGTCAAAATCTGTTCCAAACTATTCATCTTGAGAAAAAAGGGCACGATATAAATGGATTGTGGATAATTTACCCGACTGACAACCGTACACCTGTGTTTTGTATATAAATGAATGTCGAACCTGACCATTCCGTCCATAAGTGCACCTCAAGCGACCTGCCTGGCGCTCAGCGTTAGGGGATAAGACTTGGACCTCTGTCTCCCAGATTCAAGTGCATATATTTAATGTGATTCCTCCTCAACATATCAATTCAAGAATGCTTTGTCAAGTTTCAGCTCCGAAATTAAGGACTTTGGATTTAATTTGTATATGATATTATTTTTATATATGTTTAGATAAAATGACGTTTTTCTCGTGTCAGGACTGGTCCGCTTGGAGTAGGTACGGTGAGCCTGAGTCGGGTATCCATGTTGAAATGGGGATATCATGTTGAAATGCGGTGTATCAGGGATGTAGCACTCTTTAGCTCCATTTCACCTCATCGATTACTTAGTCATTATAAGACCGCCTCCGTGGTGTAGTGGTTAGAGCGTCCGCCCGGAGAGCAGAAGGTCGCGGGTTCGATCCCCGACCGTGTCATACCAAAAGACGTTAAAATATGGTACTTGTTGGTCCCTGCCTGGCGCTCGGCAATAATGGGTACAACAAGGAATGGTCGGCTCGGAGTCAGTATAATGTGTCTGTTGTGTTAAGCTCTACATCAGACGTACATCCACCTCACTAAGTCATTATAGATGTGCAGTATTTCCATTGTGTAAGTCATTCATCACAAACTTGCTTTAAAACTGTGATGAACTGTTTTATAAGAGGTTTTCTGTTTTCATTTTCAAGTTTGATTTACCTGTGCATCCGTCAACCCCAACATGGCGGCTAGCTGTCGTCTGTCTGGCTTCGTAACGTACTTCTGCACCTCAAATCTCTTCTCCAAGCCCTTTCTCTGAAGGTTGGAGAAGACAGCACGTGACCAGGATCGCTTTCTCTTGGGTTGCCCGGATGACCCATTGTCTGCACTGAGGATGGAATACGGCCCTGTTCAAGAAAAGTCGGAAAGGAATAAGTTATCCCGTCAAATTAATTTAAATATTTCAAGATACATGTTATCATGTGAATATGTCATCTGTGATAGCAAAGTGCACAACACAGATGTACCCTGAGTTACCTTGGTGCGTATCAATGTATTGGCTCATTCACCTTTATCACTTGTTAAACAATCCACTTGAAACATAACTAGTATCTCTGAAGCAAACCAAACGATTTGTGATGATTTGATACTAAACAGGCAGACATTTGAAGATGTTCATTTTTTCTATACATGTATATGTTATTGAGAACACGGCAACTCCGAAAACTCACCGCCAAACCTGGTTCACATATTGTACGACATAAACTATGTTAAGATTTGATATAATTGCAAGTACGTAAAACAGTCTCCCAACGATGACCTGGGGTGGTGATGAGAACAGAAGATTCGTGTTATCAAATTGATTTGAAAGTCATTACGACATCCTGTTAAATGTGTCAACGGTTTACGGTAAAATAAACAAGAGTTGATGGAGCGCCTTCCCACCCTCTTGTGCCATACTAGTTCGTGTATATTGTTTTCTCTGTATCTTTATACATGTCATAGCTACCAGCGATTAATCTATTTCACTGCAGGCATCGACTGGCGTGCATTTCACCATAGTGTCTCCGGACCAGCTACGGCCATCCACAAACATGCGCAGTTTATTTAGTTTAATTACGCCACCTATCGAATGGTAATTAAGACAGGACCCCCTGCGAAGGAGGCGGAGTGATACATCTGCCACACGGCGTGAAGTGGTAACGGACATCTTTAACAGGTTAGTAGATGGATGGAGTGTGTCATAATCGCGACATTTGAGTAATTGTAAAGGTTGGTGAATAAACAGTATTAAATAGTATTAATAGTAGTTTGTGGTTTTTTTAATTCTTTGTCACAAATAATGAATGCAGTTACTCACATGAGATTAACGGTCAACCAAACGACCCTTCATTCTTCAAGTTGGAGAGAGGAACACAAGGAACGGTTTCTTTGAGAGGCATTTTAGAAGTTGTATTGATGAAGGAAAACCAAGTTCTATGGATAGTCAACTTCTTTATTGCAATGAGTGCTTGATAAGGGTACCTACACCGAAACGTCGCACTCATTGCAATAAAGAAGTTGACTATCCGTAGAACTTGGTTTTCCTTTCACAAGGAACGGTTATCATATAAGATTACGATACCAAGATTACCTGAACAGGTAGAGTTGAATTTTAAAACTGATTCTAGAAGAAATTGTCATGGGTATAACTACCTCAATAATGATTCCCCTTTGTTACAAAGTAAACATGAGTGAAAAATAAGAACATTAAATAATGGAAAATGGCGCACCAGTATCTAATCTCACTCCTATTTTGAAGACTGGACGGTTTTCATCATGGTAGAAACAAACGACCATCTAGGATGCCTTTGTGTTCTAGGTAGTGTATGTAATGGAAACTGTATTGTGACGCAGATTCGAACTTGTTGCTAGTCGGGCCTGGGTGAAACTAGCAGCTTACATATGTGTCTTGTTTGAAGCCACAACAAGCTGTTCCCAATCAACCTTTAATTAAGCCGTGTCTGATGGGCGCTACTGACACTGATCCAAACCAGGGAATGTCAAGCGTCTGAATAAACATTGTCAGTTGAACCCAATTCTCAAATACAACCACCGTATATCGTGTATGAGATCATGACCACTTGTATTTCACAATTACATTACACATTTTTAGGATTCCTTGGCTAGTAACACAAATGTGATTCGAAGTACATTTACATCAATCACTGGCCCAGACTATATAATGGACAGGCCGTAGTATGCGCCTTAATCCCCAAAGCAGCATTTACTCCCTCGCTGGTTTTCATGAAGTAATTAAGACGTAAATATTAATGAACAGTCAATAGAAAGCAGTACTAAATCATTACTGATTGTGTGAGCTGTATTCAAGAATAGTGTATCGAAAGGCAGTCGTCGTTGACATTCTGAGGCTAATACAGAATAACAACGCTGTACCTGACAGTCATGAACTCCATGCAAAATATCAACGCTCTACCTGACATTCTTGATGTCATTATAGAATACCAACGCTCGGTCTGAATTTTTTGGAACCAATACAAAATAACAACGGTCTACCTGACATTCTTGAAGCCACTATACAAATAACAGCGCTCTATTTGACATTCTTGAAGTCACTATACAAATAACAGCGCTCTATTTGACAGTCTTGGAGCCAAGTATCAACAAACTGTGACATTCTCGATGTCATAGAATAATAACTCTCTACCTGACATTATTTGGAACCAATGCAAAACACGAACGCTCTACCTGACATTTATTGATAACCCATACAAAAATAACAACGATCTTTTTTACATTCTTGGAGGAAATACAAAATAGCTGACATTCTGATTCTTTCCACGATTTTGTCTATTGTTAAACACCGCAGAAAGCAATATGAGTGCGGCCTGGAAATAATCGAGTGTCTGGGCCAGATAATCCAGTGATTGACATCTTCAGCATCGACTCGCGCAATTGTATAGTAACATGCTACAATGAAGTAACCCAACCTGACCACACGATCACGATCGTCGCCTTTTACTCGGATTTTATTCATACCCAGAATATTCGGACGTGAACAGCGAGTTCACTGGTATAACGGGAAGACAGTTGACAAAAAATCACAACTTCCTTTATTTGTTTCTTAGATCAGGATGAACGTTATAACGATAAAAGAAAATGACATTAAAATCCTCTAATTATTCATATGCCAACTTGTAAATCAAAGATATCATGATTCAACAAACATATGTAACTTTTGTTGCTATGTAACACTGCACTCTTTATATTTGACGGCGTCCAGTAAATACCCGACCCAGACAATCCAGTGACTGATGTCATGAACACCGAGTCGTTAGGGTGTAATGACGTATTAAGGCAAATCACGGAGCCTGACCATTCAATCGCAGTATGTCTCTTCTCGCGACACCCGCGAAGATCCGGGTTAGAATATTGATCTTCAGTAACCCAAGCTTGTCGACTAACGGCATCGGGTGGTCAGGCTCGCTGACTTGGTTGACACATGTCATTGCATCCCAACTGCGTAGATCGATGTTTTTGATGTTGATCACTGGATTGTCTGGTTCAGACTCGATTATATACAGACCGCCGCCATATAGCTGGAATATTGCTGAGTGCGGCGTAAAACTAATTAACTCACTAAGTTTTCTAACGACAAGCACAGGTTGCTGGAGATCTGTTTTATCCCGTAATAATCGCCGCGGTACCAAAATTAGTTCTCGAAATCACAGACCATGTTCCTTTGCGATTTGTTCAATATAAACTCACATGTTATTGAAGTGTTTGTTTTTGTGTCTAAGTCTAATTGTGCTGTAAAGGTATCTCGTATATAATGTACACATACATGTTTAGTATGGTTCTGTTTTCTGCTTATAAAAGTGTTGGCATCGGGTAATTATATTACTTTTTAAATTTAAAAAATGCCTAAATTTTATTAGATAACATCTCGTAACCATTTTAAGATTGATTGCTGTTTAAAATGAATATTTAGTAGGCACACAACATAGTCATGTTGACTTACATATACACTATAGCGTGGTTTGTGCAATAGAGATACAACTAGCTAATGCATGGGGTTCAAACACTACTCGTGGTTTGTATAGACGGATGAATAAATACACAGTTAATATTCTTTTTTTAAAAACATTGATAGTAATTCCATTTCGATATTATTTCGTCGTCAGAATAAAAACCTTGCTTTGTCTGATTTGAAGTAAAACATCATCAAAGATACCTGGTGTTATAAAACTCTTTTGCTTTTCCATTGAACTGAAATCCGCCAAGCTGCGAACATAAATTGTGGAGTGACGCCATCACTTTAATTTTTCCCACCCGTACAAGAGATTTGTCAATACTAGTTCAGGTGGTATAATAATAGTTAAATGGCCTTATGTTAATATTCTTTTACAAGGAATTAGGTTTTGCGAAATTAAATGGATAGCATTTCAGGGAGTATAAACTGGAATCAGATTACGAAGGTGAATCTCTAAGAGAAATGTGTTTAACGAGTCGAGTCTTCCCTTATGGAACCCAGTGCCGGTATTTTAGATTGCTTTTACAACTCAGATGTAACTCTTAAACAGAAGATTATTTTAGAAATATCGACATATAACCTATAACCTAAATCATAAGTTGTACACGATAATTGTTACTTGTAACTATATTTCTAAAGGATGTTTAAATAACAGAAATAGATATCAAATTAGCATTAGGTCTTCACAGTACCTTACGATAATGCTAAGGTGAGCTAATCACTGTTTTCGGTGACAGTCAGTGGACATGGATGAAACAAACATACTTTTCATAACTAAATATAAATAAACTTTAAATAAACTGAGAGCAATGTTAAAAAGGGCATCCACAATATATGCATAATGAATGTTAAAGCGCACATCGCAAGGATGAAAACTTCCAACGCCTATTGGAATTTGAACTTTAACATGCCAATTTAACCACCATTAAGTGTTGTACACTGACTAGCTATAGACAGATAAATACACTCTATACGTTCATCAAGGTAGCTGTACATGATAGAATGTGTGGCTCAGTTATTTAAATATAACTTTTATATTACGTACTATCGATGAAGATATGTAGCTGAGAGCTTTAATGTGGAAACTTTATTTGGAAGTATATCTACTTACATGTAATTTAAAACGATCGAAAATAGCAAAACCATAGATATGATATGCGATGGTGCAAATTTTGGTAAATAATTGTAAATTCTGAATTCAATTTTTCACTGTAATAACATTTGAAATTTGACAGCTTCAGTAGTCTATCATTTTATGTGTGCCATTCATACATGACCTTTATATAATTTGATTAATTCTAAAAAGTTTTTGTTTCAATATGTATTTACTAGTACTTTAAAAACAGGTAAGCAAAATGACAAATATGCTGAAGAGATCAAAATTTGTATCCATTCATATGGATTATATGATACAACATACATAACCTTTCTCAATATTTTGGGTTACATTGTCTGTAAACATACTTAACAATTCCATAACATTTGTGGTTTTACATCTTGTTTTTAGTCATAAATTTATGATTAGTGTACTGATATTAATAACTTTGGCACCGAGACACATGGTGGAAGTTTGAAGGCACGGTACTAAAATTACAAATATGCAAAACAATTTGGGAACGATAACGGTGAAGTGTGTATCATTAACTAAGACGATCAAAGGATGGAATAAAATTGGACTTACATGAAAATAGCTCACCTGGCAGCGCGTCTGAGCCTGCGGACAGGGGGTACTGAGGGGGTTGCAGGGCATGTACGGCGGACAGGGAGGACGGGTACATCATCTGGGGGTAGTGCCCGGGGGTGCAGGTCACGCTGTTACACGGACACAGGTGGGGTCGGGCAGGGCTAGTCGGGGGGGAGCCTTTAGGTGACGTTGCTGAAACAAAAAGAAGATACGAAGATAATATACTGAGGACAAACCGAATATACACCTCACATTTCTGGATGTCATTTACAATTGAACGAACGGTTGGTAAATTTGATTATGACAACTTAACGATCACTACTTCCAGTAACAGTTTGTAAAAAGTATACTCCGGAAGGGTAAATCTGTGTAAAAATAAATTAGTTCAATAAGCATAGGGAAACAATAGAGTTTGCCATATTTGAAATGCTGTAAGTGTGTGCCGGAAAGGAAATTTAATTATTTTTAAACATAAAGTGTGTAAAATACCCATCAGAAATTGTGTGTGATGCAATCTTTTCCTATTTCTTAATTAGTTTTCAAAATATATTCAATCATAAAAC